ATAGATAGATGTATATACACAGACACCCTTATCCACACATCATCAACAAAAGATTGAAGTATTGTATTTTAATTGGTTGTTGAAATTTTAAGTGGTTGTTCCTTCATGCACCATTCACATATGAAGTTTTTAAGGCCGTTGGTTTCAGCTTTGAGCATTTGTGTCAGCTTTCTGTCTTATTTGTTTATTTTTGTTTATCAATTTTTCAGTATGATTTATAAGTCATTTTCATTGAAAAAGGGGCAAATAAATTGTGTATTTTTTTCAGTGTCTCTGTGAATAGATTTAAAAAAAAATTTTTTTTTTACTTAAATTAAAGCAAATTGAAGAAAAGAATAATTTCGAAACATTCTTTCAAATGTATGATCTGCAACCTCAACCAGTGCAACTGAAAAAGAAAAAGGGACTTTGGAACAGTTGCGAAAAGCAGTCTGTTTTTGCCGAAAGGCATACATTCGAATCAATGATTGCCTCACCCGAAAAGTAGATTCGTTTTGAAACAAACCAGTTAAATTCCAAATAATCGAACTGAAGGGGACTGTGCTGTCTACCCCCCCCCTCCCTTTTTTTAAAAAAAAATAAACCTGAAGATCCTTAACACATACTTCCATCCTTATGCACCCATTTTTTTTTTTTTTTTTTTTTTTATGCACACACCTTTTTTGATAGTCCTGACTGGTGATCTGTCATTACCTATTCATAGGATATCAGGTGTTATGTTGCTAGAGTTGACCAAAACCTAGTAGATAATTTTCTTTTTCGGTTGTATCTATCATCCTTTTAATTAGAAGCCAAAGTCTATCATGGAAAAGAAGGCCGAGTGTTCGTCAGTGTCACTGGTTGGGCTTCCTGTCTGAAACCAAAGTGCCATCTCCAGGCAGGGGCTGTGTACTGCACTGCCACTGTTCTCCCCCAGACACCTGGATGAGACTGTCGGTTTAATCGAATAAGCATGCGGCACATTTTCCTTCTTTTATATACTGTGTGGCTCCTGTTTTAAAAGTATCCTTTCAGCGAAGGCCAGTTGGATGGTCGAGCACTGGAGCTTTTCTCAAACAGTGTTTTCCTCCACCTCTTTGGAGTGTGCTGCTCTTAAACAGGCAGACTTGGCCGTACTTCTGCAGAGTCTCTGCTTCTCCCCAAGGTTTGTTTGCATTTTACCGGCATCTCTTTACATACACTGCCAAGCTGTGAGATCAGTGGCCACTCTGAAAATACCCTATGAAATGCATAATGTAAGGCGGGCTTTTAAGGCCCGCTAGAGTTTGGCCCCGCCACAGAGAGAGAGAGAGAGAGTTGCTCTGAATAAGTGGTCATGCAGGGGAAAGCATTTGGCGAAATGGATGCTGATGATTTGATTTTCCTCTTATAACCACAAATGAACCGTAATGTGTTGCATCAGAAGTGGGAAATGTTTGGAGACATCTAGCATCGGGACTGTTGAGGTGGTAAGGATGAGGTCAGAGCGTCTAGTTCATAATTTACTCGCAGGCCGGCCTGTGAAGGTAGCGGCGGCCAGCGTGTTGGGATTTTATGTCCAAATACAGAACTGAAGGTATTCCCAATCCTTTTGCTCTTTCGCCAAGCGCTCCGGAGCTCAGATCAAAGCGCTAAAAATGATAACGAAAGAAATAAATGTTCCCGTCAGAGAGAGAGAAAAAAATAAACAAACTGCTGACTGGCAGCGCTGCCCAATCCAAGACGAAAGTGACGTCAGAGTAACAGAGGTAGAGAATGTGAGACAATTGGGGGGGGATCACTTTTTCATTTGCACGTTTCAGCTTCCTATTAGCCCACAGCGAGGAGCTAATGGAGCAGCAGTATGATAGTCTGTTGTTCTTGTTTTGTCAAGTTCTCCTCTGCGCTGTCAGGCCCGGGGCTTGACTATATTTGACTGCGGGTGCCTCCGCTCTTAAACATGCGTTTGTTCTTTACATTGGTGCACAGCGCATCCGAGTTCACGAGTCAGACAAATAGCTGCTGTTGAGGAACTCTTCGCAGAAAAGTATGAAAACTAAAGTTGTTGAAAAACTGCATAATTGTGACCGCCGCGCTCGGGGGTTCTCACCGCGAAGAGAAGCAATGACAAGTTGATGAGGCCGTGTCGGGTGGGGACCGTCCGTTTACGGCTCCCTGCGGAACTCGCTTCTCGGACAGACGGGACCAAAGCTGTAACCGAGATCACAGCGCCCTGCGGGCCTCATGACCCGTGTTTGCTTGTGTTTGGCTTCACCTTGCTTTAATAAACACCTAGCTGCACAGAGAGGCCCCACTTTGCCAAGCATGCGCAAATGAAAAGCCTCGCCACAGCTGAGCGTGCGTGCGTGCGTGCGTGCGTGCGTGTGTGTGTGTGTGTGTGTGCGTGTGTGTATCACAGGTGCATCGCAGCTCTGCCGGCTTTTTGGTTGGCTGCCACGTCAGCCCGGCTCCAGATTTACTGCCCTGACACAGGAATCCATTAAATGCTGTTTAGGGATCCTGGGCCAGAGCCCCTCTCAAATCTCTTTCATTATAGCTCCAAGCTACCATGGAAGGGCAGCGAGTTGGCCAATCAGCGCTGCCGCCACATGTGTTCCTGCTTAGGCCCACGATTTGAGAGGCTTAAGTGACTACTGCACACATCTTAAACTCGTGTGTGTGTGTGTGTGTGTGTGTGTGTGTGTGTGTGCGTGCGCGTGTGTGTGTGCGCGCGCGTGTGTGTGTGTGTGTCCTTACGTGTGTTCTTGTGCGTGTGTATCCCAAATGAGGCCATGCCAGCCACACAACCATTCCGCCCATCTGGCTGGCACCGTGTCCACTAATGAAGACTGGCTCAGGACACGGATCTAATGCTGTCCTTCACCTCTTTGCACGGCCACACCTATTGGCTCCTCCTCTTTGCCCCCCATCAGGAGGCACATTCGCTCACCTCGAATGATTTTGCATCTTATTTCTTCTATGCATCATTCCTTTTCGTGTTTACCTTTTATCATTGTGTGTTCGGTTTCTGTGCCGCAAACACAACACTCTAAAGCAACCCCCTGTGCTCCTCTCCTCTCTGAAGGAGTTTATTCCTGTTCTGGCCTTTGATTGTGTGGTTGATAGTTGACAAAATATGGAAAACTGTTGGAGCACTTATTTAATATCTTTGATATGCAGTTTAAGATCCATGTACTAGTACGCTCTTTGTCCTCACTAGCAAGTCAGTGTGGGAGTTTTTTCCCTCTACTGTATGACATTTCTTCACAATGGACTGTCATACTTGTATAAATGTGATGCATTATTATTATTGTTGTTATTATTATTCTTACGAGAAGTGGCATTATAACATTCTACTGGAGAACATCTAGCTTTCCACTAGTACAGTCATTATCAAACCTTTTACAGTAAATCCTCACCCTCAAAAAATAATGTGACAATATGCATGATCATATTTCAATACAGTAGCTCAGTTGGTGTGAGTGTTCATCAATAATAAGAGGTTTTATCCCCAAAAAGTATTTTTAACATCGCAAACCACGATAACAAAATGCACAATTTGAACGTTAAGATTGCATGTAAGCATCAGAACAGCATCAGAACAAATACTAAAAACAATACTCTGTTAATAATTCAAATAAAATGGGTTGCAAATAAAAATTAAAATATATGCGCCTAAATAGAGATTTTTAAAACACTTCTTTGATTAAATGCAAATATATTGAACGTAAGAGTTGTATATAATTGAGGTAGTGAATCTTTTGTGTATCACAAGGGAGAGCCTGAGTAGCACCACACTTGGAGAGTCACTGCACTGATTTGCCACACTTGCATCACATATTTGTTCCACTGGTATGTCAAAAATGTCTTTCTAGTCTGCAGAAATGTCACAGGGATGTGGAAAAAAACATTACGAGTAAGACAATGTCATTCATACTAGTACAGTTGAATTGGAAGGATATTGAATAATTGCTCAAATGGTTTTCTATAGAAGAGTGCATGAAGGTAAAGATGACTAAAAGGGAAGTCAACCCCCCCAAATTTTTTTCAAGAATATCTTCTATGCAGCCCCACGAGTCTAAACACGGCATCCTGATTAATATTGTGGAATATGAGAATTTATGGAATCTGAGTTACGGAGTAAAAGCCACCCATTTTCATCCATCTCAGGGGACGGCCATTTTGACAATGACATCACACTTACTCATAGCTCAGCTTCAAAAACCGGTGAGCCGTGATTGTTTGTTACCTGAGCCCCGAGCGACTGTGATGTCATTTTCAGTCGACAGAAAGAGACAAAATGGCCACCCCCTGTATGCGGGTGGATTTTTGCTGCTGAACTCATATTCAAAACGCAACATGCCGTGTTTAGACTAGTGCGGTCGTATAGAACATAGTATTGTAGAAAGAACGAAAAAAAAAATAGAATTCCCCTTTACAAATGCACTATGGAATATGTACACATTTAGGTTTGTTGCCCACAATATAAACAAATGACCGCTCTGTGAGGGGGCTGTCAATTAGAAGGCGAGCGATGGTGTTGAAAGAAGAGCGCGTGCACTGGCGGTGATGGAGGGACATGTGCGTGATGGTGGAGGGAGGCCATGTTAATAAGTGGCCCACAGCAGATGGGGAGCGTCCCGCGTTGCTGTGTAAAGCTGCTGTCTCTTCTTGAACCCGCACATTAAACATGTTACACAGGTGGCTTATTAAACCCGCTGTGTCACTAAACGGCACCACGTACTGATCATTCAGCACATTGCGCTGACAAACACCATGTGCAGAGATGTTACAGCGCCGATCGTTAATGCTCTTACACCGGGCCTGCGTTCAGAACAGACTTAATGCTTAATTTGATAAAACACCTCTAAACATTCTCATCCCCAGACCCCAGTTTGACTAATATAGCAACTCTTTGGGTTCTGGTCCAATAAAACAAGAGCTGTCCCTTGAGACCTCGCTATGTATCTTCCTCTAATCTTCTTCTATTTCTGTCTTTTTTTTTTCTTTTTGCATTTTTTTTGTACTTGTCTCATTTACAGCAAAACTTCAACAAGTCTCCCATGAGCAAGGGCCCTCCAGAGCTTGGCCTCGGGCTCGATGATGATGAGCTGGACAGCGCTAGCAAGTAAGTGCTTCTTTTATTCATCCTTACTCTATTATATTATCAAAGCCACGATTCAATTTGTTGAGTAACAATCGACTCAATGGGCAAAAGATGCTCAAGGCAAGTTATTTTTTAAGTCAAGATTGTACTGCCCCCAAGTGGACACTAATGGGAAAAACAAGATCATTTGACCAGACTATTTTTGGACGATTGAATGTGTGTTGGCTTGCTGATATTTTCTTTGTAAAATATTGTCCATCTAGGTTTTCATTAATTAAAGTTATACATGCTGGTCCATCTGAATTGAGTAGATAGAATACCATACAAAAGTTCATTTATCTCAGTAGTTCTCAATTTAGAGATAACACCTTGGATAATATGTTGCAATCTACATAACTTCCCAATTAAAAATAATTGTCATTGTTCTGTCTGCAATCGAAGTCAGCTAAAATCATCAACTGATGAATAGAGAAGTAAATCCTGAAATCTGTCATTCGTATTCCTCATGAATCTCAATGTAAATTTCACGTTTTTGAATAGAATTAGTGAAATGAACGGAGCTTTGTAGCACATTCTATGTATTTTGGTTGCATCTCTACATCAGCGTTTTCTCCACCGTAGGATCTCATCAGAGGACAGTGGCGATGTGCCGTCATACGCGGAGGACAGCGATGACTGCTACTCTTTGGAGTTGGACATGGACTCCTCGCAGTCAGGCAAGATGAACCTGCTGGAGGAGATCCTGGACTCTTTGAACACCACCACGATGGAGCAAGGCAAGCTCAGTGCAGCCAAGAGCCTGGACTTCTTCAGGTCCATGGAGGACCTGGACTACGCCCCGGTATGAGAAACACATTGTGTAATGCAGCTAATTAAAACTCATTCAGTACCAGCCAATTCTGGACCAAGTCTGAAAAGACGCTTAAAAACGTCTTTGGGAGTGAATGAGTTAAGTGGTCTCACTTTTTCTTTTTTTTTTTACCCCCCC